AATATAACAGTGTTTCAACACACAAAAATGTTAAACAAAATACGGTCATCAATTGTTTCTTTCCAATTACCAAGAAGAGTATATAGTCTGGTCTCCTAGTAAAATGAACGAAGAATTTAGTAAAAATGTTGAATATCACTTTGTTTAAAAATTATGGTATGCGTATGAGTAAAAATAATAGAGAATATTTTCATTACAATTTAGTTTAGTCTCATCATCGTTTTTGTGCTAAAAATTCCCTCTATGGTATCATTGATTGACTCAAGGTAGTGGTGAGCTAGAGTCAATTTAACTTAATCTCATGACGATCGTTGAATCGCATCAGCGTTTACACATAAAAAATTCCCCCTGTAGTAGCAGTATAGGTATATAAATCTGGCTCCAGTGGGGTTGCGGCAAATCACCATTACCTATACTACTTTCTGTGACGTTCCTTGTAAGAGCTGAACATTTAATATTGGAAAAAGGCTCAGGGTAGATGAAATGGAAATTTGCAATAACATATTGTGTGATGCATAAATTGGGAGCTTATTGCAATTGCAAATATCGTCTTTCTTTTTTGACAATAAATAACAACAAATTCAATCAAACGAGTCACAGCACGACTGTATGTGCTCATATTTCAACGCCATCATCACTGTTCGTGTGATGATTAACCGATCATTATTGACTTATCAACACTAACTCTCCTTTTGAAATGACATAAGCGACGGTCCAAACTGTCACTTCCGGTCTGGTTCCCGGATCAATGCGCGCTGCGACAACTACACTCTCCAACCCAGAGTTCCATGTGGCCGGTGTCAATAATACCGGTACAGTTCCGCCCCTCTCGAAATAAATTCTCCCCCTCCCTACGGAATAAAATCTCCCCCCAGAATATTTCCTCCCCCGGTCGTTTTATAAATACTTGCCATGCAGTTCAATAGTTACACCATAGAAGAACTAAATCACGTACTAAACAATAGAAAAAAAGGAACAGCCCCTGGCCTAGACCTCACCTCTTACCAAATAACACTTACCTACCAAACTACTCCAAACTTTACTTAAACTATACAACCTAGTTTACCTAAACGGACAGGTCCCATCCTCATGGAAGGAAGCTCTAGTAATCCCAATACCTAAACCAAATAAACCAGCAGATCAGGCAAACTCCTATAGGCCCATATGCCTAACCTCAAATCTCTGCAAAATAATGGAACTTATGACTAAAAATAGGCTACAGCACTACCTAGACCAAAACAACATCATAAACCCCGACCAAAGCGGCTTCACTCCTGGCCGATCAACTCTCGATACCCTTGCCCGACTAGAACAGGATATAAAAACAGGACAGCTAAACAAGCAATACACCATAGGCATATTCCTCGACTTCTCTAAAGCTTTCGATATGGTATGGCACCACGGGCTAATACAAAAACTAAAAAAAATAGGACTAAAAGGCCAAATAATAAACTTCATCCAAGATTTCCTAAACAATCGCAAAATTACTGTGGGTATAGACCATACGCTATCGGACCAGTGTCCCCTAGAAAATGGCACTCCCCAGGGCAGCATTCTCAGCCCAACCCTCTTCAATATAATGATAAATGATCTATTCGAGGGCTTATCCCCTAAACTAAACACTTCAAAATTCGCGGATGATGGAGCCCTATGGATCCGCACTAAAAGCATTAAAATGGCAGAAAACCTAATCCAAACATCTCTAAATAAAATACAACAATGGGCAGACAAATGGGGCTTCTCCATTAACTCAGATAAAACAACAGGAATAGTATTCAAACATAAAAACATGAAACCTGCCTACCCAATCCTCCAGCTAAACAACCAAACAATCAAATTCCAAAAACAAACCAAATTCTTAGGACTTATTTTCGATCAACACCTCACCTGGGAGGCTCACGTCCAAAACCTAAAAACTAGATGCAGCAAAGACCTTAACACATTAAGATGTCTCACCGGCTCTAACTGGGGAGCCTCCAAAGATACCCTCCTCTCACTATATACAACACTAATTAGATCAAAACTAGACTATGGCTGCGCCATATACAATACCCTAAACAACTCTCTATCTAAAAAACTTGACTCAATACAATACCAAGCCCTTAAACTAATTACACGCACCCAACATGGCACCTCCTACACCTCACTTCAGGCCCTTACAGGAGAAATGCCACTAAATCTACGCAGGGAACATCTAAGCCTTAATTTCTGGGCCGCGTCCCAAACAAACCCTCTCATCCAAAACCTAATTAACCAAAACATTAGCCCAAGAAACCAAGCTCTAGCTCGCAAACACCCCTTACTCACCCCAATATCCCAAAGAATAACTAACTACCTCAATGAACACCAAACTCAAAATCTTAAACAAAACTGCAAAAAATCAAATATCTTCACCCCTAAACTCAAAATACCCCAAATAGACACAACGCTAACTAACCAAATAAATAAACAAACCGACCCAAACATAGCTAAAACCACCACACTTTCTTACATACACGAAAATTGGCCAAATTGGTGTCACATATACACTGACGGATCTTCAGACCCGATCTCCAACCACACAGGTTTCGGAGTCCATACCACACAACCAGTTATATCCACACAATCTTACCGACTCCCTAACAACCAATCTATATTCACGGCCGAACTTATGGGCATGGCCTCAGCCCTGCATAACCAACAATAAAAAAACAACAATAAAATCCTAATTCTCACTGACTCGCTTAGTGGGCTACAAGCCCTCCAAAACAAAAATACAAAAAAACGACCTAAATTAATAAACCAAATACTTAAAAGCTCCAACGACCTAACAAAAGCAGGCAAACAAATAACCTTCTTGTGGATCCCCGCCCACGTAGGAATTTACGGCAACGAAAGCGCCGATAAAGCAGCTAAATTATCTCTCAAAATACCAGAAATAAGCCTAAACCTACCCATCTCAAAATCAGAAATTAAAAGTGTAAACAAAAAACAAAAAATAACCAAAAAATGGCATAATCAATATCAAAACTCAAATAGCCAAATCCAAAAAGTGCTCAGAAAACCACTAGCCAAACCTAAAATCCTACACCCCTCTAAAAAATTTGACAGATTAATTACAAAACTCCAAACAGGACACACGAACCTAAATAACCACCTAAAACAACTTAAAAGACACACCACAGGCAACTGCCCCCACTGCAAACAACCCGAAACCACAGAACACGCACTCATCCACTGCACCCACTACCAAACACACAGAACCACACTACAAACCAACCTCAATCTAAATAAGGTTCCTACTCTAGATGAACTACTAAACCCTCAAGATAAACTAGAAAACTTCAAGGCCCTAGGCGTATTCCTAATCAAAACAGACCTAATTAAGCGCATCTAAAAACTAGTTAATCTACCAATCCAAAATCCAATAAACATACAAACACCCACCTCACCCGGCTCCCTTAGTTCCCTCCTCCACCCACCTCGGCATTTATTCCAAATTTAAAAATCTCAAAAATTCAATACAAGCAACCCCTAAAACCCACTCTTGGGTTGTACACACCACTTTCACCCTTTTCGGAATACACTAAATGGTCCGGCCAGGCCCGTGTGCGAAATACGCTGCAGTCGGAAAGCGCACGTTAAATCTTCTATATCAGTCAGTAGTTGTCTCAGCACTAGACAATCAGCAATCTAAAAAACAACAAAAAATCCTCATCCTAACCGACTACCTCAGTGGACTACAAGCCCTCAAAAACACTAAAAAAACACCCCAAACTAATAAATCAAATACTCAATAGCTCAAACAACTTAACTAGGGCAGGGAAACAAATAGAGTTCCTTTGGACCCCCGCCCACGTAGGGATCTTTGGAAATGAAAAGGCAGATAAAGCAGCAAAATTATCCCTTTAACTCCCAGAAATAAGCTTAAACTTACCCAGCTCAAAATCAGAAATCAAAGGTCTCACTAAACAAAAAATCAACAAAAAATGGCAAAATATATACCAAAACTTAAATAGCCAAATCAGGAAAGTACTCAAAAAAACACCTAAATAAACCAAAAATACTACACCCATCCAAAACAATCGACAGAATTATTACTAAACTACAAACAGGCGGCACCAAACTAAATAATCACCGTAAAATAGCTAATCTACACAAAACAGGAAACTGCCCACATTGCAAACAACAAGAAACACCAGAACACGTACTCATTCACTGCACACACCACCAAACACACCGAACAACACTACAGACCACCCTAAATCTTAAAACCGAACTTACACTAGAATCAATCCTAAATCCATAAAATAAATTAGAAAAATTCAAAGTCTTAGGTTTATACCTAATTAAAACAGGACTAATAAGTCGCATTTAAACCCCAAATAAAATAATAAAACCAAAACTACCTTATCTAACAACCACCCAACACACAGCTCCCTTAGTTCGTCCCCCACCCACTCTTGGCATTCTTTCCAAATCTCAAAATTTCAAAATTACTGTATAAGCAACCCCTAAAGCCCCTAATTCATAGTCTTTTTATTGTTCAAATTACTGATAAAACATATTTTAACTTGTTCCTTCTAACCATATTTCCAAACATTTCCAAACATTTCCAAACAATTCCAAACCATTCCAAGTCATTCCAAACATTTCCAGTGTTGGAAATATGTTTGGAAATGTTGCCATTCCAATTTTGGATTTTTTGGAAAGATCGATCTTTCCAAGCTTTGGAAAGTTTGGAATGAGCGATCTTTCCAAAGCATTCCAACGTTCATTCCAAATTGGAATGGACGCTATTTGGTCTTGTGAGGGTAATTTGCCCTTGGAGTCAAATGTACTGCAGACAATGGTAGTCATAAATCAGTCGCTATGACACATGCATCAACCAAGTCAGCATGCCTGACCATCCGATCCCGTTAGTCGCCTCTTAAGAAGAGCATAGTCGCATTTTACGGCAAGCATTGGCTAATTAAGACCTAATCTAATCCGGATCTTTACGGGTAAATTCCTTTACTAACCTGACCAAGACTGTTAAAGCTCTGGAGGGGTTTGGGACAGCGGTACCTCAAATCCAGATGCTTCGAGCAGAGAGGTCTCGTCAGCCTTTGTTCTTCTAGGGGTAGGAAAACTTTCATTCCAAATCCCGCGGCTGACCCCATCCACGGGAAAGGCTAAGGGAGATCCAGAGTCTGTTGCGTGGGTAACTCACAGTGAAAGCAAAACCCCTTGAAGTCAACCACTGATACGCCTACCTTGACTGGCGTAGAGTAGGGCAACACGGAGCTGCCAAGCTAAAGGCTCTGAACAGTCTGACCCGCGGAGAGTACACCTTGTACCAGGCAAGATGTTAAAGAATGAAGAAACTCAAGAAGCCAGCTCTTACGTTGGGATGCTGGAATGTTCTCACCATGACTACCACGTTGTCGGTGGACCTCCAGGGGATGAGTGATGTATTATGGACCGTTGTAATCAGTAAACAGTCTCTGGCACTTCGTGTGTAAGAGAACTGATCAAACAAGAAAGCACGTCATCACCTCTGCTGTAGAAACTCAATGCTCAGAATGTTTGTTTGTTTTTTAACGCCGCACTCGGCAGCTATATGACGGCGGGCTATAAATAATCAAGTCTTGACCAGACAATCCGGTGATTGCTATCATGAGCATCGATCCACGCAATTCGGATACGATGACATGCATCAACCAAGTCAGCGAGCCTGGCCAGCCTATCATGTAAGTAGCCTCTTACGAAAAGCATTGTCGCCTTTTACAGCAAGCATGGGTTGCTGAAGACCTATTCTACCCCGGATCTTCACGGGTCAATGCTCAGAATGATAGAGCCTGGTTAGAATGAAGCAGAAAGGCTTCTCACCCTCGGACTTCTCACATGCGATGTGCCTGTCATCCTAACATCCGATGGACCTGTCAGCTACGGTTTCCACGAGTCCAATTTTTTGGACTCGAGTACCCGAGGGGTGAAACTCGACTCGTACTCGAGTACCCGATAATAGGACGTCCTTTAAGAATATTGGTTCATTAGATCAAAATTGCCATCTAAAAATATTAAAACATGTTATAAGTATAATTGAACTGCACTTAAATGTAAATAGAGAGCGTCCACGGGACTTGTTTATCTGTCAAAGTGTATGGAAGTGTTCAGTGTTAATGTTTGCTTGTAACTGCACTAATCTTAATCACGACCTTCAAAAACATTACGCCACGTCTACAAATACTACAGTACATATTGAACACAAACCAAGTTTGTTTTTTTCTGACGATCAGCGTTTCTTTCGACACCTGCCAACAAGCACGAACAATAATTCGCAGGAAGAAAATCGATAATATGCATCACGATATACACGTATACACATGTACAGCTGCTGGGCTGCAAGACTAAGGCCGCTAAATATTGAAATGTAGTACTATAAGTTCATTCATTCATGAGTTGGTCACGTTTTCAAACTGTACCAAACTGTCGACCTTTCGCTTGATTTGTAAGCACTGAAATAGCACATATATATCAGCTAATCAGTTGTTAATCTGTGTAAGGGAATACACTTGGCATTTGATGTCGGAGCAAAGAAGCAATAATCGCCTTGATACATTCAATTTCATAAAGTCGGGAAGGAAAAACAATAATTACGTCTATTTTATGTGACATTCTCAATTATTTCTAATGTACATCTACTTTCTACAAAGAATACATTATTCAAACAATATGTTTTGAAGCTTTAATCAATATATTGATGAACAATTGAACACTGAAACAGAGTGATCTCCCCTTATTGAGTACTCGCGTCCTTGATAACGGACTCGAGTCCCAGTAAAACCGACCCGGCCCCGAGTACTCGAGTACTCGATGAAGCCCTACTGTCAGCCTCGTCGGCGTGTACAGACCTACGCTCTGCTCCCTACAGGAGACGAAAATCCAGTTCTGCGACCAGCTCCAGACCATCATCAATGGAATCAATTCTCAAGAACAGCTGCTAGTGCTTGACCACTTCAATGCAAGGGTGGGTACAGACCACAATGCAAGATGAAAGAAGAAAGACGACTTCTGGAGCTGTGCAAACAAAACTGCCTGTGCAGCCCTAATTTCCCTGTCACTGAGGAAAGGTGAACTGCTACTTGCTGCAGCTCTGCGAGTGCATTCAATCATCAACAGATGATGGGATAATCTATGGTGTGTACAGCGGCACTTACTTACTTACTTACTTTGGAGATTTAACGTGCGCTTTCCGACTGATGCGTATTTCGCACACGGGCCCGGCCAGGCCATTTAATGTGTTTCCGAAAGGGGCGAAGGTGGTCTGTGCAACCCAAGATGGGGGTTTTAGGGGTTGCTTATATAGAATTGGGGAATTTTGAGATTTGGAATAGATGCCGATGGGATTGGGGAGGAGAACTAAGGGAGCTGGGTATGGTGGATGTTTGTTTGTTTATGTGATTTTGATTTGGTGAGTTATTGTGTTTTTAGATGCGTTTTATTAGTTCCGTTTTGATTAAGAATACGCCTAAGGCCTTGAAGTTTTCTAGTTTATTTTGTGGGTTTAGTATTGCTTCTAGAGTTAGAGCCTTGTTTAGATTGAGGGTGGTTTGTAATGCGGTTCGATGTGTTAGGTAGTGTGTGCAGTGGATGAGTGCGTGTTCTGGGGTTTCTGGTTGTTTGCAGTGTGGGCAGTTACCTGTAGTGTGTTTTTTTAAATTTTTTAGGTGGTTATTTAGGTTGGTGTGTCCTGTTTGGAGTTTAGTGATTACTCTGTCGATTTTTTTGGATGGATGGAGAATTTTTGGTTTGGTTAGTGGTTTGCTGAGCACTTTTTTGATTTGGCTATTTGAGTTTAGATATAGGTTATGCCATTTTTTGGTGATTTTTTGCTTGTTTACACTTTTAATTTCTGATTTTGAGATGGGTAAGTTTAAGCTTATTTCTGGGATTTTGAGGTACAGCGGCATCAAGATAGACCCTGATCTAGCGGGGTGAGCACTTCTCAGCTCTACTCCAAGGAAAACAACATCTCTGACTCTCACAAAGGAAAATTCCAATATATACAAAATATACAATTTTGAATGGTTCGTATATCCAAAACTATACAATTTTGTATATATGGATAGATTTAACCACTGCTTCATTGAATATTTTGAGCCCGTAAGAGGTATTCTTGGGGTTTGAAAATATTACTAATGTTACCGAACAGTATTATTTCACGTGACAATAATACGTTAATACTATTTTCATTATGGCAACTATATTTGGAGTGTTATGAAATAATTTGTATTTCTTTATGTTGACAGCATTTTACATAAGAAATAGAACATTTGTGCAGATTTTAGTAACAGATAATGTAAATAATACTGCTGTCTTAATTAGATCGCGGTTTGAAAAAGCACTGTTTGTATAACGAAAGGCTGCCGCTGTTTTAACTAGGTCGGGGTTAGAAAAGCACTGTTTGTATAACGAAAGGCTACCGCTGTATAAACTTAATTGGGGTTAGAAAATCACTGTTTGTATGGGGAAAGGCTGCCGCTGTCTTAACTAGGTCGGGGTTAGAAAATCACTGTTTGTATGGGGAAAGGCTGCCGCTGTCTTAACTAGGTCGGGGTTAGAGAAGCACTGTTTGTATGGGGAAAGGCTGCCGCTGTCTTAACTAGGTCGGGGTTAGAAAAGCACTGTTTGTATGGGGAAAGGCTGCCGCTGTCTTAATTAAATCGGTGTTAGAAAAAACACTGTTTGTAAAGCGAATGGCTGACGCTGTCTTAAATAAATCGGGGTTAGAAAAGCACTGTTTGCATAACGAGAGGCTGTCAAGTTCAAGTTCAAGTTCTTTATTAGCTCAAACCGCCGACCGGTGGTATATGGGCAACATAATAGCATACATATATACAAAAATACAATGTGATCAAGTGGCAACAGTGCTTTACTTTAGTGCAGAAAGTTATGCTTTTACAAATTTAGACAGTTTTTTAAGATTGTAAGTTCTCATATTTGACATCAAATGCTTAAAGGAAATAATGTTTGACCAGTTTAGATATCTACTATCAATTAATGTTTTTCTTTGCTGGTCAAAATATTCACATCTAAAGAGGTAGTGGAACTCGTCGGCTATGACAGGGGAGGTACAAAGCTTACATGTGCGATATTCGCGTGGGATGCCCTCCCAGCGGCAGTCTCAATCTGTACGTCTAAACTAGAATAACCAATAAACGGAATAGCAAGAGAGTAGCCTTTTAGCGATTGTCACGATCATTGTAAAATAATAGATAAGAAATCCATGAATTTAAAATTGTACAAGGAAACATATATATAGGAAACACTTTGTTGGAATAAATTCCTATTATATTACGTTCACGACATTAGTTCTGGAGTTTTCAAAGTAAAATTTAATATATATGTTTCTGTGATTTCATGTAATGGTGATTCTAAATATAAAATATTGGTTGATATTGTTTGACAAACAGTTGTACACACCGTCCATTGTGATACTTCTACTTGAGGATGATTGTTTAGTCAATTGACATGCGTTCATTGTAAACAAGGATCATTAGTGTGAAAGGATTACTAAGTTTGTCATCCAGTATAATGCACTTCCACGATTAGCATAATTAGAACAGAGTTTGTAATTAGTTACATCCGGAAACCCGGTTAATCAAGGCAGCTACATCAGTTGAGAGTGTGAGCAACTGGAGAAGAGGCGAGCAACTCAATGTGATTTATGAATTAGTGGAATTTTAATAAATAAACGAACGCCTGTCGCAAAAATGCATTCGAACATTGAACACGCATAATTGCAGATTTCTATCGTACATTTGAGGGTGAACGTGAACGAAGCCGTGCAGGATGCCTTACAGCGATTTGTCTTCAGAACACACAGTGAGCTCAGGTGAGTTTATTAATGATGATATTTTCATTCATTCATAGATATGACGATCATGAGCGCTGACACTATATGTGTTCGCAATAGAACATTTGGAACAGTAGAATATCGGTACACCATACAGTTAATTGAAAACTGTAATCTGAAACATATCCAATGCTACTTCAACACTTTATCATATACTTAGCAGTTGAATATTCTGTAAAATTGAAATTAATCCTCTATTAGTTTACAGTGACGATTCTTGCAGGCTATATAATGCAGGCACGGCCCGTTA